CGGTTTTTGAGTATTTTGAATTCAGGAATCAAAATACTCAAAAACCGGTGGAAAGACACTTTAACCTGTCTGACTTATGTCCATTCAATGACGGACCTGTGGGTGGCTATATTACAACAGAAAACCTTCAAAAACAGACTCCAACGAGAGACTGCTGAGCTGGAATTGATATGCAAACTAGACACAATCAACTCAGGATTGAATAAGGACTGGGAATGGCTGAGCCATTACAAACATTGAATCTATCTCCCCTTGTAAGTATTCTCACACTTCTTATCAAACTGTCTGTACTGGGCTATCTTAATTATCATCACTTCAAAAGTTTTTTTTTCCTCTCTTACTTAATTGGCCTCTCAGAGTTGGTAAGACAACTCCCACCTGTTTATGCTCTCTGTATGTGTGTATATATATCTCCTCAATATTTATTCCACTCTATATGCATCCGAAGAAGTGAGCTGTAGTCCACGAAAGCTTATGCTCTAATAAATTTGTTAGTCTCTAAGGTGCCACAAGTACTCCTGTTCTTTTTGCGGATACAGACTAACACGGCTGCTACTCTGAAACCTTCTATTGTTTGGAGAATCTGAATATCCATCTGTCATATTCTGCCCTTGCACACACATGTGCAATGCTGGTCTTGTGGTTAAGGCACTGGACTAGTGCTCCAGAGATATGGAGGAAGTTGGCATAATCACTAACTTCCTGTGTCATCATGACCTAGTCACTTATGCCAGATTTTCAGAGGAGTGCAGCAATAAGTGCTGTAATGGGAAGTTCTGGGTGCTGAGCACTTTTGAAAATCTGGTCCTAGGTGCCTGAATGGGATTCGAGCTCTATTGACAGTCTGGCCCTGACTATATGGCACAGTTCCTTATCTGTAACGGGGAATAATAAGATTTCCCTACCTCACTAGGCTGCTGTGAGGACAAAATGAAGTTGCTCTACATGAAAGTTGTGTTTTAGTCTTAAAATGCTTCCTAGGGCCTGGTTTTCATCTCACTTTTCACCAGTTTAGCTGTTCTTGATTTAAACAGGTAGAAGCAAGGAGAATAGGGCCCCAGAATTTTGCCTCTATTTAAACAAAGTTTTCAAACAAAACTGAAAGATTTTTAAATGGCCACTAAGAGGCAGTGGGCCACCAAGTTACCCAGTCTCTGAGGCCTCTGTCAAAGACCTGCAGTTTGTCCTTTGATTCTACCTCACTTGTAGGTATTGGCACACTTTTGCATTCAAATTCATATTCAGAATGGAAGGAGTAATATACTGCTTATTACTTTCATCTAGAAGCAGGGACCGCACCTTCCTTCCAATGACTAAAGAGAGACCCAATAATTTCTTCAGATTTTATGCTTGTAATTTGAAAACTTGCATAGTTCAGACACATGATACATACCAGTTGGCTCTCTGTCACTGAAGGCGTTGGTAAATAAAGATTAGCCTGCAAAAGAGTAAATATATACAGTGTTACATAATCCATTATAACAGTCACATGATCTGGGATGAGAAGGAATGCTTATTCACTACAGAGGGGAAACCAGGAAGAGGAATATTTCCATAGATTAACTGCTCTACAGCCAAAATGCTTCTGAAATAAATGTAGTCAAACTTTACTAATTCTGGGTCACTGAGAACAAAAATGATGTTTAAAATTGTTGATTGGCTCTAGTTTTCAAGATATGCTATTGGGTCAGTATATACGAACCTTGACTTGGGAATAGCGGAGGATAAGTGAGCTATAAAGGGAAGGGAATCTCAATTTAAACCAGAAATGACTAAAATACATCTTTGACTGGATCTATGAATAAATCTATGACTGGGTTTGGACAGTACTTGCTTTTTAGGCAAAACAATGAATGATGCAATCTGAAGCTGGTATTGCGTCATACATGATATGAATTGCATCCTGTTATTCCTAGAAGTCATGGATGATGCAATCATAACGAAGCTTACATCACTCTGCTGAACAAATTGCCCTATATCAGCTCTAGAAATCATACAGTGTCGTGCTCTCTTATTTATCAGTGTTTGA